CATGATTTTTTCAAATCAACTACATACGCATCAGTTTTATGGAGGTAGCAATGGAAAAATGGGATTTTCTAAACTGACGGAGTTGATAAATTAGGGCCTAGATATTTTTGAGTCAAAAAACTGTAGATCTGTGATTGGCTGGTAAACTGTCTTACTGTTATTGCAGTTAAAAGCGTGTAAGAATAAAGTCGTCTGCGAAAAATAGTAAAAACAATGCAATGAAACAGTTAGTAAACAAGTTAGATTTTTCCGACAAATAAGTTAAATAAGTTCAGTAGGAGTATTAAATTACAATAACTAAGTATTTTTTATTAATATCAAGATGTGTTTTTAAATTTCGTCCTTTAAATGTTTTTTATAAATTTTGGCATCAAGAGCGTATGGCTAAGTCAAACATTTATTATTAGATCAGGGCGCTTGCATGCTCCCACATCCCGACCTAATTTCTGTCGTGAGCCAAAAATTGCTAATCGGTTGTTGCAAACAGGAATTTATTTGGGCAGTGTTAGAATTTTTGTGAGAAAAGGCACCTTAATTTATAGGCGGATCCAAGGCGGTCTCCTGTTGGGAGGGGAGCGGGAGGGTCGTATCAGGTCCGTAATCATTTTCGGAAAGGGGCTCCGTCCACGATAGGATCCGCCAATGCCTTAATTACTTTTCAAAGTCGAAATTTCTCAAGTGAAGTTTGGCGGCAACTTTTTTATTCATTAAAGTATGGAATATGATGCCAGTTAAGTCAAAATTTCCGTGTCGCCCGCTACTTGAAGCGGGAATAATGCACGAGGCAACACGTATCACTAGCAATCAACCACTGGCGGGCTGTTGTTGTTGCGCAAAACAACCGAAAAGCCAGCAAAGAAGCCGTAATAAAAAAGGTGAAAACTGCCTACGGGAGGTAGGGAGGAAACAAGAGGTGTGTTCTTCCTTGAAAGGCAGACGGACAGTAGGTGTGCCGTGCGTGGATGTGGCGTTCGGATGTGAGGGGAAATGCTTCGATTGCCTTCAGGTCCGTAACTATTTTAGGAAAGGGGTTCCGTTCGCGAAAGTCGTTGCCGCCCTTTTTCAAAGGTTGATTACAAATAAGCTGATGACAGGGGAACTTTGTGACACGTGTCAATACAGTTTACCCTGGAAACGAACGGCAAATTGTAGTGAGATTGGTTTTACCTTCAAACTAAAATGAGATTGAACCTTTGATTTTTTGCACCAGAGCTGCAGCACTCGCCACTGTACTACCCCTGTCGAAAAAACATATTTGATACAAAATATGCTAATAAAGATAAAATACCTTCTTTTTTCAATCCAGACAAAAAATTCAGCATCCGCTGTCTAAAAAAATGCACGTGTTAAAATTTTGTTTTTAGCTATCCTGTTATTCCTTGCCACATGCTGTTCATACTAATTTATTGTTGATTCATTCCTTGTGATATTGTTCCTTTTATAATCATTTTTATTGCAGACTGCACAAGCCAGCGATCGTCTTGCAATGAGTGAGAAATGTCGGCAGCTGTATGTTAGCAATCGACTTGCACCATCTGTTTTCCCATCCTGGCTTATCAGTCAGTACTCTGGCCGACTTACCGCTGCTCCACAAAGTGTTCAACTCCTTACTGATTCCGGAAAAGTCTTCGATTCTGTTCTGGTAGTGCATTATTCTTTCCTTTGTTGGTGAACAGCACCAGCAATTCAGTATTCCTAATAATTTTCCTGTGTCGCCAAAAGTAACTTTATAGCTGAGTATAATTTAAATAAAACGAGCAAATTTTTTAATCTTTTCAGTCAAGCTTATCTGATTCTTGATAATTTGCAACTGTTTCCGGTCTTTCTTAGTAAAATCGAAATGGTTTTTCTGATTTCTCAGCTTATAGCTGGAGTTTCTTTCGTCAAAAATTTCAGCCGTTGCTTTTCCGAAAAGGGTTGCTCCAGAGGAATAAGAAAATTTATGATAGAAATGAGTTAAAAAATGTCACTGAAAAACGAGTGAGCTGTTCGGTACAAAAACTTGCATTAATTAGAAAAATACTAAATAATAAAAGAAATCAATTACTTGATTAGAACATAAATTGGAGAATCATTTAACGTTGAAATGCGGAATCGCCTAATAAAAAGTTTGATAAAATAAG